TTCACACTAAAAATGAAAAAAATGGATCATTCATCTTGATCTCCCTCAGATATGATTACATTTCTTTTTACTATCATAATATTTATAAATAGTTACTTAAACATAGATCAACCACCTGTCAAATATAATGATTAAACGAAAAAAGGGAGAAATATCTTTGAAACCAAGAGGAATTACATACAATTGCACCAAATTAATTTGGTAGATTGTTTGTTATTATCTAACATGACTATGATGAAGATTATCTATTAATGATAAGAATTGATATTTGAAAAAAAAACTTTAAATTAAAACAAACAAACGTATTATTTATATGGATCAATTCTTTCAAATGGAAAAAAACCATGTTAAATATTTTTCTATATTGAAAATTAAGCTTATCCTTCAAAATAATGACAATGATGATGATTAGAAGAATTCTGTTGTTGTTGATCAACAATTGAAAAATCTTTTGTGGTTATTGTTTGTGGTCATCATCATCTTCAGCCAACATCATTTTCAATGACAAGTCGAACCTCAAATTGCTATAGTAAAAAAAGTGTACCCGATGATGATGATACGGGTAGCAGATATTTTTCTTTTCAATATAAAATGATGATATTTTCTATCGTTATGAATAATGATTGATTGAAGAATTTGATGATGATTATTATTATTTATATGAATAATGGATATGTTATTGTCGTTTTTTTTCTCCCCGCTTGTAAACAGAATGTATAAAAAAAAACTATGACAGTTATTATGGTGGTCACCATTTGAATGATCTAAAAATTATCATCATCATCATCATCATTACCACCATTACCATCATCATCATTACCATAATCATCGTTTAGATTATAATTGACCATGATAAAAGCGTTGACAATGGAAGATGATGATGATGATGGATAGTTGAATCGTTATTTTCAATCATTTTGTGAGCACAAAAATGAAAAGAACAGATTCATTTTATTTCATCTTTTTTTTGTAGTAAACAAATCGACGAGAAAAGAAAAAAAATATATAAATACCTGAAAACAAACTTATTATGAAAATTCTTTTAGATAAAAAATTTTCATAAAATGATGCAACGAAAAAAAAGCAACGGGCAACATCAACAACAACAAAAATCGACAATCGTCATCACTATATAATGATGGTCGGTTATAATAACAATTCTCTCCTTTCTTTTAGAAAAAAAATCACAATGTAAAACAGATCAAGGACAGAAAAACAAATACAATCAAACAAACACAAGTTGTATTATTAATGATGAATGATGAGAACAAAATGAATGAATGAATGAATGAATACATTGAAGAAACAGATACATTTGTCATTTTGTTTTTTATTTTTATCGTTGTTGAAATATGTTATGGGAAACACAAAATTTAATTTTAAATAAATAATGAGAAAAAAATTGATGCTATGATGATGATTATTGGAATAGGGATCATGATCTCAATTTTTTTCCATGATGATGATTATGATGAATATGATGATAATGAAAAAAAATCACATTGATTATGACAAATTTTTCATATGTACCATATATTCAATAATTCAAGGTAATTTCGTTATTCACAATCAATGAACTTACAATGATGTTATTGATTTGTTAAAGTAAAAAAAAACAATATTTGCACGAACACACACACAGACACAAAACACAGAGACACAAAATAAATAAATAAAACAGATGAAATCCTTTATTCTTTTAATCTATCATTTTTTTCTGGTTGTTTCGAAATCAAGCATCGTCATCGTATACAATTCATATTAATATCGATAGTTCATATGATTTGAAAAATTTCTGGATTTTGCTGCATATGGTATCATTTCTTTTGTTTGTCAGTTTGCTTGTTTGTATGACAAATAATGACATCCAAAAATAACATCTAAAGAGATAGATAGAGAAAGAAAAAAAATCATGTAGTTATCGTATATTGTTTGAAACATAAAATGTTAAAATTAAAAATTGAATTAAATGATATTGAATCAGGATGCTTGTTTAATCAAATCAACGTGTACATGTTTTATCTGTTTTTTCTTTTAATAATATATGATTGTTGGACACGCACGAATGTTTTTGTTTTCTGTTTTGTTTTGCGATGAACACAATCTTCTTTTTTTTTTGACAAAACACAGAAGAAAAAATCAATTTTTTGCAATTCAAAAATCACTCGAAAATTTTTGCAAAAATTAATACCAAAAAGTTGAAAAAATAATGAAGAATAAGGGGAAAAAATTATCATCGATTGATGATAATTACTATTACAATTAGTATTAGGTTTGTTTTGTTATTGTTTCATTCAATCATTTTGTCGATCATCATTATCGTTAAAATATAATTCATTTTTTTTCGATTTCGAAGGTGAAAGTATGTTATTTGTTTTGGTTGGAAGATTTTCCGTTATTGAATGATGATGATGATGCCTAATGATCCATCCAATGATAATAATTGTCAGTAATTGTTAATGGTGGTGATGATAATGGTGATGGTGGTTTTTGTCGGAGAAAACAAAAAGAAGAATGCCAAATAAAATTCATTTTTTGAGTTTTCGTTGTTATTGTCGCTGTTATTATTGATGACACCGACGACGACGACGAAAACAACAACAACAACTATGGTGATGATAATTGACAAAAGAAAAATATGTGGTCGTTTTTTCAATTACAAATCAACTTGTTTAGTCGATTGACATTTTTTTCTGGCTTGATGACATCATGCAATTATTATTGTTGTTGTTGAAACACCAAATATCATAAAAGAATTTCCAGGTAACGATAGGTAATTATTTTCTGTCATCAATGTAGTTGTCGTTTTCATCAGTTTTTTTCAAATATCCATAATGATTCACCTGGATACAAGATTTTTTTTCTTACTCTTCAAATTCTTGCATCCAATGTGATAATGATCTTCATACGTGTAAAGTGTTTAACACACAACAACAACAACAACAACAACAACAACAAACAAATTCAAAAGCAACGAACACAAGAAAAAACAAATTCAAAGAATATAATTTACCTTATATTTTTTTAAAATTATCATTGACTATTCTTGCGTATATTCACCACATTCTTAATTTGATGATGATGATGATGATTGTTGTTGTTGGGATCAAAAAATAACCAATCATCCGACAACAACACGACAATCACATGTGTTTGTATCTGGCAGTGGTTTCTTCTTTTTCATCTTCTTCAAATCTCACGATTGATCCGATTCATTGTCGCTAGTCACTTTTTAGTTGTACGAACCACTTGTTGTGTTTTGATTTGTGGCGGCAGCATTCTCTAAACACAAAAAATCATATTAAAAAACAACAATGCTTGAAAAAAAATTTGCCCCGACGAGGACGATGATGATCAACAAATTGTAGTGGTATAATTTTTATTATCATCAAAATCTACCATACGACCGATAACCGCCACTATTCAAAAAACATTACAGGTGATTTTTTTCTTGTTTTTTTTTGGAAAATGAACAGGTAACCATTGAATAATAAAATGCTAGTTCCTAACAAACTAACAAATAAAACTGTGAATGAATGAATTTCGTGAAAAAAATGAAGCCAGACCATTTTCATTTCATGATAATGCTGTATATATGTGGTAACTCCCTTTTGTCATTAAAATAGGTGGAGTTTTTTTCTAGCTAGCTAGTTTTCCGTTCTTTATTTCTTTATCTTTTGGAATAATGCAGAAAAAAAGTGTTGCCACTACTTGTTGATTACAAAAAGTGGCATGATGACCCGAGGACACCACCACTATTACAACAATAACAACAACAAAAAACGAGAAAAACACATTCGGACTGCCCGAATATTTTATTTTATTTTATAACAAACAGCCGGGAAAGAACTGAGCAATGATCGAAGAAATTTTTTTTTCTGGAAAAAAATGTCGACAAACAAGTCTTTGAAAAGTAACAACAACAAACACAAACATACAACAGGAATTTTAGATGTAAGAGAATATATAAAAGAACAACATAAGTTGAAAGAAAAATGTGTTGAACTTTGATTCGTATAACATGCATGGAGAACAATAATAATAATGATGATGCTGATGAATATATGAATATGATATATACATCCATACATCCATTAGGGCATCATGTAATTTTTTTATATTAAAAAAATGTTTTAGTATATCATCAGTTGTCTTTGTTTTGTGGATGATTCAAAAATCAAATGAATTTCACCTTTCATAATGATGATGATGATCATGATCAAAATGATGTGTATAAAATGTTTTTACATTATTATTATCATTGCATAATAATAACTATCATTCATTGTTGTCATTGAATTTGTCATCATTCCGGTCATATCGTATATATGAATGATGGAGTGTTGATGGTCATTTCCACAAAAAAAATTTCCAGAAAAAAACTACTTTTTTTTTTGTTTTCCTGTTATACATTCGAAATTCTGATCAAAGGTTGACAAAATAATGATTACACTCAGTATTTTTTTTTTCGGTTGACATTCACTAACCGGATACAGAAAAATAATCATAACTGATTGGATTTTTTCTTATCGAAAAAAGATCAATCTGATAATCGATTTTTTCTTGTTGTTGTTTTTTTTTATTGATCAATTCAATTTTGAATGATTATTATGTTTATAATATCATAAAAATATATGACGGAAATCAAATTAGAAATCTTGATAGATATTTTTTGTTTCAATTAATTTGATGTGATGATGATGATAAAGAATTGAATCATTTCATCATCAATCATTCAATCATTTTCTTTATTTGATATAAATTAACTAAATCATTATTGATAATTCGATCACTATCCGTCGGATTAAATATCATAATCGAAAAGATTGTTTTTATTTGTTCGCCATTGAAAATGATTGAGAACACGAGATTTTTGAAAAAATCATTTTATTGAACAAAATAAATACGGAAAAAAAATTCAAGGGAATCAGTTCTTTGTTTGTTTTATGACACAAAAATGTTTTTTTGATTATATCAAATAAAAAATAAATGGATAAAGTTCAAAAAAACAAAATTAAACAAAATGGACAATATATTATTGGAAAAATAAGTTCAGTTTTTTGAAGTTATAAAAAAACATTTAAATGACGATGATAAATCTTAAACTTTAAACATTCCTCCATGTCCTGGCACGATATAATCGGCGATCGATAATATATAATCACGATTGGTTCGTTGTGCGGTTGGATTCATTGATCCAGCATCAATCCATAATTGTTCATTCTTCAAATCGGCATATGATTCAAATAAATCACCAACAATAGCCACAGTACCTAATCGTTCAACATTATGACAGATTACACTAACATCGTTATGCATGTGGCCTGGAGTTGATATCAAATCAACGTTTTCGGTTAACTGTAGTGATCGTTGTCCGCGAAAAATATCAAATTCAAAATAATCACCGGAAGATCTTTGATCACCAACTATTTGCGCTGCATTTGGGAAAAGATTCAGATTACCAATATGATCTGTATGTAGATGTGTACCAATAACCATGCTAATATCATCAGTTGTCATGTGATTATTTTGTAAAAGTTTAATCAATTCATCTCGAGCCCATGGACCTAATGTATCAACAATAATATTCTGTCCATTATTCAATCGAATCAATGTCGATGAACCATTGGCTAACATTGAATTTGGTTTTGTATGCCAACGGCTATAACCATCTTGTAACACAATCACCTGATTTGACATTGCTGTTTGAAAAAAAATGATGCAAAAAAATCTTCCATTTTCAATAAAAGATATTTGGAAAAAACACACTTTAAAGTGCCATCTATAGAACAATAAAGGAATTTTTCGGAGAAAAATTTTATTTGAATTTTTTTTTACAAGAACATATTACACATTGAATCACAAAATGAAATCAAAATAAACGAAAAAAAGTACACACTCTTTTTAAACACACGTACACACACAAGACACAAACAAAACGAAATAAATTACGCTAATATGATTAAACAGGTATCATAAATGCCAAAACAAAATTTAAGAAAAAACAAAATACGATATCCAAAAAGAAAAATTATATAATGATATCCATATTAAAAAAAACAAATTTCAAATGTATTTTTTCGTCTTTATCGACAGATCTTCTTTTCTGAATGGTGTCCATATCATTCATTCATTTGTTTGAAAAAAATATACAGGAAAAAAAATGTTAACAAATTTGGAATGTGAATGTGTGTGTGTGCGTCGATTTCTGATTGAATCAATATTCTTACAATACACTATTTGGTATATCCAAAACATTCGAATAAAAAAAATGTTTTTTTTTAGTTTTTTTCTGATTTGTTTTGAAATGAAATTCAAAGAATATTTTTATATAGAATCCTAATGGTCGATTTAATGGGTAGAAATTTATTTATTTTTCATATATGTGAATGAGTAAAAGAGAGAAGAGTGTAATGCATGTGAATATTACTAAATAGCAGTATCGATGAATTGGAATATATTTTTTTCGAAAAATGTAGTAGTAGATAAGAATAAAGAATATTTTAGTATCCAATTAATGATGATGTTTGATAAACAATATTTGAGGGTTATTCGAATTATTAATCATCATGGTGAATTATATGTCAAAATATTATACCCCGATCCTTGATTCTGTAATAGGTAATATAAACGTTTTTCCACTGCTTCACGATATCTATTCAATATGTAACGATCATCATTACTATTGATCTGTTGACTTAGGCTATGTAACAGAATCTGTGCTGTTTGATAACGTTTGAAACTCTGTGAAATTCAAAAAGAGAAAATTAAAGATTTATAAATTATCAGAAAAAATATTTACCTCTTCACGTGAACCGATCAATTCATCGACGGCACCAGATCGACACATTTTCAATGCATATTCATAGATGATTTTATCGGCCGAAATGTTGTCCAATGTTTTCAGTAATGATTTATTTTCATCCCGTAAATTATTACATAGGTCTAAACATTTATGATATTTATCTTTCATTATTTTCAACACTAGAAAAAAAGAAATTTTTATTTAAAAAAGGGGATCAATATGATTTGAAAGAAAATATTACCATTCCGAACATTATTCGACGTACAAAGACGTTTATCGCTAATTTCTTTTTGCGACAATTTTAATGCTGATGATAAGAGCTGTAAGCATCGAAAATATAGAACGAAATGTTCTTTGTTTTTCTGCTCTTCATCGAGTAGCTATATTTATGATGAAAAAATTGAAATGATTAGGATGGGAGTTATAAACAGAAAAATTTCTATTGTCAGCTTACCTCATTTGACGTAGTTGATTCGGATAACACAGCAATTGGATTAGATATGTCATTGACTAATTCAAATATTGAATCAACCAAAGCCAATACAAAGTTCAGTTTAGCTAATGTTTCATTGTGATGTTTGTCAAGTAAGGTCTCTTCGGACAATACGGGTGGTTCGAATGTGATGGCTGAATCTTTAACATATGGAAACATACGCGAACGAAACGAAGTAGATGAAGGTGATGGTGGTGAATGCATCATTTGACTTGCACTAGGACAACATGGATATAAATGTTGATGTGCACCAGTAGATGGATGATGTGGATGATGATTCAATGGATAATAAGGATGTACAGTAGTTGATGATTGAAAATGATGACGATGAACTAATTTATTGTTATCTGGACCTTGTGCTTGTGGTTGAACGGCTGTCATTCCACAAAAATGTCCAGGACCAGCCGGGCAATATGTTTGTGGATGACCGTGTGGATGGTGATGATAATGTTGGGGATAATGTGGATAATTTTGTTGTTGCTGAATATTCAATGCACGTGTTGATCCATAATAATCTTTGGCTAAAGACGATGATGATGAATGTTGGATAGTTTTCATTAGGCTATCATTATTATTAGCTGGTAAATGCGAACTAATCGATGGTTCCGTTTTACTATGACGAAGATTCGAATGTTGAGATGATTTGGGTGATATATTTTGCATTGTATATCGTTCCGGTGATCCATGATGATATTGTTGTTGATGATGATGATGTGGATGATGATTGGCCATCGAACCATAATGATAGCCGGATAGATTTGAATAATTTGATGTAGGACTGAAAATAAAACAATAAATAAATTATTCACAAAAAATACATTGTATTAGAATACATACTAATTAAAATATGATGGTGAAATTGCTTGAGGAAATTGTTGTTGTTGTTGCGGATTTAGATGAGGTATACTAAGACGACGAGATCGATGATAACTACTATTATTTCCAGAATTCATCTGCATGAAACCCGATCCGGGTGATTGGGTTGGACTTGATCCAAGTACAAAATTCACCGGTGGAGACATTTGACTAACATCAGTGGTTAATATATGTCGAGAAGAGCCGCCACGAGAACTAGCACTTTCAACACTCGAACCAATCGATGATGACGAATCATTTCGTTTGAGATTCAATGTATTTGGTGGTGAACAGGTTGGCTTTTGCGTGTTTGATGATTGTCTACGCTGTTGATTATTATTATTATTAACAATATTCTGCGGTGGTGTTCGTGGAGGACTTTGACTAGCCATCGATGATTTACCATTTCCACCGCCACCACTAGTCGACTCGGAATCACTTTCATGTATGACGCCAATGGAACTTGAATTAGAACCACTTGAACGCTGTATCTGTTCATAAGCGGCACGTTGTGTTGGTACAGGAACCGGTTCAGGCATGGCATATGAAACCAATGGTCTCAATGTACGATTTAATATTCTTTGAGAAAGACTAGATTCTGCTGCCGTTGTCATGGTTCCTGTAACAGCATTTGGAATTTGTTGGGGCACAATCGTTGCAACAACATCTTCATTTATCATAACAAAATCATCGACATCACTTGTTTCACCGCTATTCGGTGATTGACGATTTTTATTGCTATTTGTATTCTCTTTCTTTTCCGATTCGATATTTGTTTTTAAATTTTTCATTTGGTTAGAACTAGACGATCCTCCCTTGTTGATATTAGCCAATTTATTCTCCTCTTTTAAACGATTTACCCGAGAATTTTGATGCTGTTTCATATAATTAGGTTTAATATTTTCTTGATTGAATTTTGAATTTTTATTATCACAATATGTCATCATTGGAGGCAAATTAATATCTTCGTTTAGGAATGGATGACAAAAAAATTCTTCAAAATCCATACGATCTTTGGCATTTCGTCTTAGTAAACGAGTGAGAAGATCGGCCAATAGGGGTGAAGTGCTTTTGGGTATCCTAATGGAATTTGAACAATGATGAAAAAAACAATTTTTTAAATAAGGAAATTTTATTTGCAACATGATTTTGTAATATATATTGCATCAATATAAATTGATTAGAAAAATTGATATAATACGAATACATCCGATTGATTTGAATCAAAATGCGAAAAATGAATAAATAAATAATTTTGACAGATGGAATCAAATCAAATCAAAACATTGGTATTTTTCCCTTCATTTTTTATGTCTATCTTATTTTCTAAATATATATTATTTATCGATAAACTGACATTGAACCGTTTTTAACATCAATGTTGTTTTTGTTGTTGTTATTGTTGTCATCGTCGTGGTGTTTATCCTCGATTCGATTCAATTGATAATTCATTCAACCGAGAAAACAAGCTAACTCGTTAACTTGTTGCTAAGTGATTATTTTTATACATATTTCTATAAATCAAAAAAAAATGTTCAACGTTCAGAATAGAGACAAACATGTTTTGTCTAAACATGGAAAAGCAACAACAACAACAACAACAACAATGATAATGCTGATAATATAGGAGGAAAAAAATGGGAAAAAACAAACACTTACATTGGAGCTAAATTTGGTGTCGATTCATAATAATGTCGTAATTCTTGAGGTGTGTTTGCCTTGAATGGTGCCTGTCCAGTTAAACATTGATAGATAATTGTTGCGATCGACCATAGGTCAGCTTTTGCACCATATCTTTGTGACATTATCACTATTTGAAATAATAAATTTAAAAAGAAGAATTAAAGGATATAGGGAATGTCCATAAAATTTGTATTTGTCATTTATTTACATTTGAAATTTTAAATTTAGATAAATCTATCAAGAAATTTCACAATATAATACTATTGCCCTGTTTATCATATGTACATGCATATTCAACTGATCAACACAACGATAAAAAAAATTAGTGGAAAAAAAACCGAAGGAAATAAAATCTAATCTAATGCTATAATGTCATTTACGTCGATCATAGCATCATTTCCATTATTATTATTGTTTATTCCCCACGATGATGATGATTTTTTTTTGGCTTCGATTCAAATCAAAAGCAAGACAATGTACGAAAAATAAAAGCAATGATAATCATATGAATTGAATTGATGTATGTCATTGAAACTTGATTAAAAGATTGCATCATCATCATCATCATTCTATTCGTCTTTAAATAAATTTGTTTTCAAAAAAAATGATGCAAACTAAAGAATTCAATGTCATCATTCTGAAAAGTCAATATCATTTGTAATAATGTATCTGTATTGTGTATGTCATCGAGAACATTTCTTCTCTATTCTGTTTGTAAACTATGATGAAATCATTTCCTTACATCTTATGAATTTCGAAAAAAACCTAAACCCAAATTATTCGGAATCAAAATGATTATTTTTTTTCATCTCTATCGTTTTTCCTGTTCATAACGACAAAAATCAAAATCAAGCTTAACATTGTTCTAGAGAATTAATATGAAATCTAGAAACTAAACTAAACATTGACATAAAGAGTACATGGCCAATATTGTAAATAAATTATGATGATCACATCGAATTGCATGATTTAAAATATAATAAAACACACACACACACACAAAACAACAACAAACAAGAATATAAATATTAATACCTTCTGGAGCCATATACATTGGTGAACCACAAAGTGTAGCTGCCATGACACCTTCACCAAGAAATCGTGCAAAACCAAAATCGGCAATCTTCAATTGTATTTGTGTCGGGGGTGGCATACCACCATCATCATCAGATTGATAACAAAGTAAAATGTTCTATAAACAAAATAATAATAATAATAATAAAGAGGTTATTAGGCAGATGGAAATCGATATTGTAAACAAAATAAAAAATGGCATAAATTATTTAAAAGTTTTCCTATTCTTTTTATATGCTGTATTGTTTTATTACCGGATTCATTTCATTGTAAATTATAGTAATAATCGATATATTGTCAAAATTAAGGAAAAAAAATCTAAAAGTTTCAACTAAATTAACTAACTATATGTAATATTATTTAACAAAAAACAAATGTAATAAGATAAAATAAGAATAGTAAGAAAACAAAAAACAACAAACCTGAGGCTTGAGATCACGATGGACAACGCCTTTAGCATTCAATGCTTTCATCGCGGCAGCTATGGAAAATACAAAAGAAAAAAAAACCAATCGATTAAATTAGGAAATTTTCATTGAAGGATTAGAATGTATATAAAGAAAACGAAATAAAATATTATAATTTAGATAAGATTATTTTAAAAATTTACCTATTTGTCGTAAAAATACACGAATAGTAGTCTCGGATAATGTTCGTTTAGCTTTAGAAAATAAATAAAAAAACGATGAAAAAATTTTGAATTAAATTTTTAAAAAAATACTTACTTGCATTAAGATAATCGGCCAAATCACCACCATTACAATATTCCATAACCAGATAAACATATTGTGTAGTTTCTTTACAATCCAATAGACAGACAACATTTTCATGATGTAATTCAGTTAATTCCTGTAGAATTTTTATTTCTTTTTTCAATAAATTTTGTGAACGTGAAAGATTTTTCTTGGTTATTCGTTTGATGGCAACTTCTTTTTTAGGATTCTAAAATAATATCAACAAAAAAACAAAACAAAAAAAAAAGAAAGAGAAAATTTGATGATGAAATCGTATAGATTAATTTCAATATAATCGTATTGATTGACAAAAAAAAGGATTGTATGTTATTCAATCAAATCATGAAATCCGATATATCAATGAAATTGATTTTAATCAATACATCGATAGATTTGATATGTATGTAGTACAGATTATATGTACTTTTCTCCATTTCGAAGCTTATCAATCTATTTTTAGAGTGTAATTATTTGAGATTTTTATTTTAGCATAGTTATATGAATCCTCATTTATATATCTTCCTTATTGTGATTATCCAATTTGAATGGAAAAAAATCAGGATACAAACACACATAACCTAATATAGACTATCAATCGAATTTCAATAATCATCATTAATGAACATCACGAGAATAAAAAACCCAAAGAGAAAAAATGAACAAAAGAAGCACGCGTTCGACAATACCAGAAAAAAAATTACTGAATCACATGCCTTCCATTTTTGACATACAGGATTATTATATGATGGATTGATGGTGTAACGAACCAGAATGTTTTATCATCAATTTTTTTCTCTAATTCATCATAATTTATCACTAAATTATCGTTTTTACTTTTAAGTTTTATCTATCAACAATAATCATTCGGCAGACATCAATTGATTGTTAAAATAGAAGAAAAAATGTCGTTAAATATTTAAAACCGGTTGTAATCCAGTTGTTGATGTAGTAGAAAAAAAGACTTTGAATAAAAAAAAATAAGTTTGAATTGAATGAATGAATTTACAATATAAAAAAATGCTCCAAATTTCAAGTGTTTAATGTTGCTAAATAAATTATCTCAAACAAGGCCTATTATGACGAAATCATAAAAAAAATTATCATCACTTATTGATTGATTATCAGTTAAACTACTGTACAAAAATTTTTTGATATTTCTCCCATCATAAAAACCAACATGTGAGGTTCACATGTTTTTCCAAAATGAATGTCTTGTATAATATTGATATTTTTTTTTTGAATCAGATACAAAACGATAACAATCAGATTGAATTTGAGAGATGAGAGTACAAAATGTACATATTTATGTGAAATAATTTTTTCCTGTTTATGAAACATGGACGGAAACCTATTAAACTAGAAAACTGATGGAAATTACATTCAACTAGAAGAGAATATGACGTTTTGTTTTTCAATAATCCATGGCCGATCGCCATTGAATTGCACGTGTTTTTCAGGTGCACATGCTGCTTTTATCTCTCACGAGAAATTATTACGACAACATAAACAAAAAGAAAACTTGACAAATATAAAGCCATAAACGGGTGGAAAAAAATCCGTTGACAAATTTATGGATAAACAATAATTTTAATTTGAATGTCGTAGTCATTGAAAATGAATATAATCATAAATTTTGATAGAGCCATCAAATGACTGCTTTATTCTATAGATATGAATGAATCAAATAATGTAATCACAGATGACCCTTTCATTACATCGATTCTAAACATAGCTTCAAATAAATAGATCAATCAAAATATGGTGAACAATTTTTTATTTGTTGTAAAAGGGAAATAAACCCGTTACGAATCTAATGGATTCGACCCAGATATGCCAAAAAATACGCAGCATATATAAGTCATATGAAATGTAGGCTGACACAAACATCATCATTTTCTTTGGCTTCTTTTTTTCCAAAAAATTTCTGTTTTCAAATAATAACAATATCGTCAATCACAAATACACATGGCGCCAAAAGTAACCAAGAAAAAAATAAGGAAAATAAATGATGCTATGTTTGCCAAAAGCTAAATTCTCATCTATATCGAGTTATACAATCAAATACTATTACACCACTAGCATCACATCTTGACTATCATCACTACCACCACTAGATCAACATGTTTAAATTATTATTACTATAATAATGATGATTAAAGAAAAAACTCTTTCGATTCACATAAGACTGAAATATAGGAAATATAAAGTGCGTAGATTCAATTTTCTAATCCCTGACATAAAAAAAAATTCACATAAATCAAATCATCATCATCATCAAATGAGTAACATACGGAAGAATCACATGCACATTAAAACGAAATTGATTTATCAAATCACCCTTTTTTTCGTTATGAACTAACTCTTTTTTTTGAAGTTCACATGATATTCGATAATATTCTTTTTTTCAAAACTTATGAAATAATGAAAAGGCTATTAACTTTTGAGTTTCCTTACATGCGTGAATTCAAACAACAAAGAAATAGGCGTGTTATTTTTTTTTTGTTGACTTCGTAATTATTTCCTTTTTCCTTTATTCATTAATATTGATAATTTTTTACAATTCCAAAATTACACACCCGCGCGAATAACATTTTGTAATTTTTATTAAAGAAAGTTTCATTATTTGATAGAAAGAAATGATAATAAATATTATTCATAATGTGATGTTCATTCTACTTTTTTTATTAAATCGAATTTCTGAATACAAAGAAAATTTCAAATAAGAAATTCGTTAGTCTATCTTTTTTCTGTAAAAAAATAAATAACAAATATACACATGGAACAAGTCCAATTAAGGTAAACGAAGGTGAATATAGTTTTTTTTTGAAAAGGGAGAAAAATATTGAAAAATATAATTTATATAAATGTGAATTTGATGAAGGATTCAATCATCAAAAAAAAGTACAAAATTCAGTTTTCACATAGAGTTTGTAAAACTTTCGTTTACCTGATATTGTATTTCATTTTATTTCAATGAAAATAGACAAAAAAAAGTGAAATGATTTTAAGAATAATTGATTTTTTTTTCATCGTCGAAAGGATTACATTCTGAATTATCCAATGCGTGTGTGTGTAAAAGAACAAAGACGAATTTAGATTTGAAATTTTCAAACTCATTGTTTGACATTCATCATCATGCCTTACATAAAAAATACATACATAAAGACAGGAATAAACTGGTCTATACAAGTACAATTATTCTGTTCAATATTTTTATTTTTATTTACAAAAAAATCATCTGATGTACACACCTATCATATACAATTCAACAAAACACGCACACACACTTATACATGTGTGTCAACTCTTTTTTTTTCATTGTTGTGGTGGTTATAACTTTATTTCCATTTCCAATAAGATTTAGGCGCCATGTGATTATTTTTAGGAAGAAAAAGAAATAATGAAAAAAAAGAGAGAAAAAAAATCGATGCATGAATGGATCCATCCATGTTCTTATGCACATACATTTAGTGTGTGTGTCTTTGCACTTGTTGCTTATGACGAATAATAATAATAATGATCATCATCATCATCATTATTATGGAAGTTTCACCTTGAAAACAAAATACATTTGCCTGGCGTTGTTGTTCTCTTTTCACATTACTTTTTCTTTCGTCTTGTCTTTCGTTGTAAAAAAACACACACACTATACAAACACACTATTCTTTGGATAGATTTTTTCTGTGCTTTTCAAATTTTTGAAAAAAAAATGTAATAATAATATTAATTCATGAAAAAAAGAAGAAAAAAATTAAAAATCATCATGTGCATCTGAACAGAAATGTACTTTTTTTTGTTGAGTGTGTAAATGAATTGCATATTATAAAGACACACACACACATAGACAATTGATCGTTTATCATTAAAAAAAATCCGTGTTAATCATTCTATGATGATGAGGATGATGATGAGGGTTTTAAAAAAATTTATGAATTCCAAATGAATAATTATCAAGGATAAATAAATGGTCATAATAAGCGTTTTAGAATCTTTGATTTGATCAAACAAAAAAAAATTGACATCATCAAATTCATTTTATCGATCGATCGAAGAATTTGTTTTCTCTACCATATCAAACAGGATCTGTATTAAAGTTTAAACAAATCATTCATCATTGTTGTATGATTGATGGAAGGACATTTTTTTCGCCAAAAAAAACAATTCAAATTTCCATTTCAACTTTTATTTGTTGTCAACTGTAAACAACAAACAAATTCAAAAATTTTCTATTTACGGGATTTTTTTTCATGTAGAATAACAATGGACAAAAAAAGAAAAGAAAACATATCCATGGAAAAAAGGGCAAAAACGAAAAAAAAGAGACATATGTCAGCGTTAAATAATTCAAAAAAAAAAATCCTTTTCACCTTTTCGCTCCAATATATTGCTATTTTTTCGCACACACAAATACAGAAAAAAACTCCTTCAGTTTTTCAATGATAATTACAAGTGAAAAAAAATTTTAGAAAAACAAATCTTTCATGCTTCTTTAATGCTACCAAAATGATGGCCATCATATGAACATTTTATTAAATGGACATTTTGTTGATTTTTGTTTGTCGTTTTTTTTGACTGTTTGGTTGTTGTCATATATTCAGGTGAGATTGCCAAAAAAAAAAATGTTTATAGAAAACTACAATAAATAACAAGTTATTGTAATCAGAATAACTTGAACTAACAAATGAAATAAATAAAATGGTGACCCTAACAAAATCTATCGACCATTCAAACAAGCTATTTAAACAACGTTAAATCCTTCAAGATAAGAAAAATGGTAATCATCATCATCATTATCATTATTTGAATTTATCAAAAGATTCAAGTTCGAGGAAACGAAAAGAAATAAAAATGAAGAAATGCATCATGAATTTTGCTATTCAACGATTTCATTACATTGAAAATCGTGTATAATTTCTGGTTTCTTTCATCTTTCTACACATTTTTCTCTCTCACTATCCATCTTTCCTTGACCATAATCGATATTAATTTTATAATTGTAATAGATTCATAAATGAAAAGAAGAAAAGGGAAAAAAACCCTCGAAGCGATATCAATTACAATCACCACAATCATTATAATCGATTATTTTAATCATTTTAATATATGACCTCAATGGAAAATATAAAAAAAAATTTAATGAAATTTATGTTTTGTTTGCTGGCCAGAATTCAATATTAGAAAAATAAATGATAACCTTTGTAATAATAAGAAATTTAATGTGAACGAACTGAATCATCACCTAAAAAAACAACAATTTATCTATATAAATGAAATGTACAATGTTCATTATTCTCGTATATTATATAGCGATAATGATGAGCCAACATTCTATTGTAATTCTATCCATATTCATCTATAGAATTCAATTCTTTATACTATGAGTCATCGTACGAATCGTTAAATCATTACGGACAACAACACTAGGATCGCTATTGGTTAAATTAATAAAAATAATGTTAGTTTTTTCACTGATTCCATTCATTCTTTCGAAAAAAAAACATTAACATATTTCATTTTTTCGATTCTCATACGATGATCAAACAAAAAAATTGAAAGAAAAAAAAAATAATAATAATGATGAACAACAAAGTTTATTGCTCTCTATTTATACTCATTCATTATCCATCGGAACACGAAAACAAAAAAAAACAAAAGCCAAGAATTTTTATTTTGTTTTGGTTTAAATCCTAGATAATCAACAAACATAAAAATGATATATATCTAAACGATAGAAAAAAAAGGATATCATAGGATATGGTAGCCATAATCTTAATCAAGATAACATAAGTTGATGATGAATAAACAATAATTTCATAATGCGTCATAAAATTATTTATAATAATTATCAACTATTTACTAAAGTTGTTACAAAAATAGAGATGATTTTGCGTACGTGTGTGCGTTATTGTTGTTTTGTTTTTTTCAGAAAAAAAAATGAAAAATGCAATCATTACTTAATGTGTTAAACATGAAAGACATAGGGCAATTGCCAAAATGAATGTCAATGTCATTTAGATATCATAGCCCAATTATTATATAAATAATCAATCAACATTGTGGTCTAATATTGAAAATTTGAGCCAAAGAAAATATTGACCATTTATAAACACACACACACACGCCTACACAGTAAAATGTTAATGAAAAAATAAAAAACTTACATTTATAAAACGACCTTTATATACCACAGCAAATGCACCATGGCCAAGCATATCCTTATCATTATATTCAAATTGTCCAATTGTTTCCATTGTTAATGATGATTTTTTTGTCTTTTCTTCAGAAATTGATCAGTTGAGAAAAAAACAATTTATCGATTGATGATGATGATTTTTAATGTTGATTATTTGATGTATAAATTATCATTTGCAATATGGCCATGTCCATGTGTTTCACAAGAACAATTTACAACAAAAAAATACTATGCATAACACCGGAATAGCATGAGATGTTTATGTGTTTGTGTGTGTTTGGTGTGCAATAATCATGAGAATAACATCGAACAGACGATGATGATGATGATGATGATGACGATAATAATAATAATGATGATGATAATAATGTGAACGTCATCAAAACGTTTTTTTTTAATTTTTTGATCCAAATGTAAATTATTCAATAATGACGATGTTTATCATAATCATAATTAATTTTGTTTTGTTCATGGAATGATCGTCATTGAAATTTTCGGGCAAATTTGTTTATTTGTTTTAAATCAATGATATTGTTTAAAAATAGGACCAAGACTTTGAATAGTAAAGGCAAAAAGAGTTTTACAATTTGTCATCAACAAAATTTGTTTGTTTGGGGATTCTTGTTTTTTTTTCTTTTCTTAAATATTATTTTTATATATCATATGTTTTTTTTTGTATTTATGGATCTATTTGTTGTTTGAAAATGTGTTTATATGTTTGACATTAATCAATCAATCAATATCCATAATTATGAGAATGTTTGTTGTTATATTAATGGTTGGACATTATTCGAATGATAATAATTGTCACTTACCTATTTAGTGGATAAATCAATTGAATTCTTTTTTTTCATAATTATCAATTTTGATCAGAGAATAAAAGTTTGTGAATAAAAATCAATAGCATTTTATTGTATGGCAAATTTTATATGTTTTCAATGATAATGATGATCGATAGATTCAAATTAAAATATTTTGTTGATTCGAAATTTGAAAATTGAGATCAGAATCACAATGAAAAAAAAAGAAAACAAAATTTTGATTCTGTTTAAGTAATTTTATTTTTCTTCAGGAAATTTTTTCGCTAAATGCTTCGTATTTGGTGAATCAGGTGACAATTTTTTTTTGTTGTTGAAATTATGATGACTTTTCGATAAGAGATGATTTATTTTCGTTGCTTATGATTTTGACAAGATTAGAATCGAGATCACAATTTTTTTTTGATGATGATGATGAGGATTATATGAGAATGAAAAAATTATCGTTGAGATTTTTTGATGAGCACAAAAAAATGAATATCACAATTTTTTTTTTTAAATAATTATTATATTTGGAAAATCAGCAAATCGTTTTCGAACTCTATGGAGTTGTTATTGTTTAATCAAAGCTAAATTTTCGAAAATTTTTCAAACATTCAATTGGAAATCAACATTTTTTTTTCAATTAATGTTATTGTCAATAACAAATCAAATAATGATTATGGTTAGATACAAATCAAATCAAAACAAAACAAACCAAAAAAAAAAGGATCAATCCAATATGTATACAAAAATATTGAACGAAAACGCGTAGAAAATTTTTAAAATTTACGCTACGACGAATATAATACCAGAAATAAAAATAATTTCTTTTTTCGCATGATGATGATGATGATGATGTTGATGTTGTTTAAATATACACACACACTAACCAAGTATGTGTGTCTATTTGGATTGTTGTTTCTTCCTTTTTTTTGCGATTTTGCTGCTTAACAATCAAATTGAATTCAACAACAACAACAAAAAAAATCAAACTACAAAACCCAATATTATTACCACTACCAAAATGGATAAAAGAGCCAAAAAAAAAGTTTGTATACACAATGAATGCAGAACAAAAAATTATCCACAAAATAACAAAGCAGTCAACGAATTGAATTGAGAATGTGTGTTGAGGAGGATTCAGGATTCACTCAATCAACCAAATAAATTAAAAAACGAAATAATCATAATAAAAAAAAAAGAAAATGATCCAACCAGCCAGCCATCGAAACCAATGGTAAACATACAGAAGAGTTTGTCATTATCATTTGTTGTTGTTGTTGTTGGGCTGTGTGTTTGTATTAAAAAAAATGAATAAATGTTTTATTCACAAAAAATGATCAAAACAAAAAACAAAACAAAACAAACCAAAACAATGCGCATACGCATACAGATGTTTTATTAAATCTTTTTTTTCAATACACATTTCTTAACTGCTACAATTTTCATCCAAAAATGTACATGTATTTTAATCAATAAAAATAAAGGGTGTATTGTAACATGCTAACATCATCATATGTATTGGATACATCGACTATACTTCCATTAGATTTTTTTTTCTTTGTTGTAGATGCATATATTACAGGTAAATGAATAAATTTTGTATCAAAACAATAAATAATACGCATGCGTGTGTATCTTCTTTGTTTGTTGTCTCTATTTGATGCAAAATGTTGAAGAAAAGAAAAAATAAAAGAAGATTCTCTTTTTTTACAATATATGTTTGTTGTGTTCCATTTTTTGTTGATGTTGTTGCAATTCAATTCTTTTCGCAATCATAATCAAGCTAGAAATATTGATTAAAAATGCCTTAAGGGTCATGAAAAAAGGGTAGTGGTGGTGATGATAATGATGATGATTAAGAAAATGATGGTGATTGTGGCTATCAAGGTAATGATCCAGCCTTGATCATATGATTGATCAATTCATTTGATGATTCATGTTGGAAATTCTTTCATTCCAATAGCTAAAATAAAAGAAAAAATCATTGACAGTGACATTGACATTTAGAATTTTAATTGATGATTTGTAAATCAATGATTGTCAGAATACATGATCTTGATGCAATAGATTGGATCAGTAACAAATACAAATACTTTGCAAACGTCTTAGACAAATGGTCACCAATAATAATAAGGAAAACAAATTAATTAATTTTTTTTTAAATCTAATTATCATAAGATATTGTTGTCAAGTGATTGATGTTTTAGAATCTTGGATCAACAACATTGCAAATGTAATGAAACAAACAGATTATCTGGTCGATAAAATTTTCCATTAATTTTATTTTTTTTTTGCTCTTGTTTTATCATCATTCATTTTTCTCACGAGGTCGTAAACATTGCAGATGACGATGATTCATCGCAATCATCACATTGCGACATAGTCCATCTGATCGATACGTTCGAAAAAAAAGGTGATCAGTGATCATTCTCGAATTGATAATTGTCATTGAAATGAAAAAAAGCAACGAAAATTAATTCATTACGAATGTTTTTCCTGTTTGCGTTGTTGTTATTGTGTTAATTAATTAAGTCAATAAAAAAATTAAGAAATTAAAAAAAAAATTCGGATAAAATCCAAGGTTTAATGGAATTTTTTTCCACCCGTTTCATCCAGTATAGAAAAGAAAAAAGGATATGTATACGAAACAAATCGATCAACATTTATTATCAATAACAATATTTTTTCTGTTAGCAACAATTACATTTCAAATAGGTTACATATTTATACAAATAATTTTTTTTATCGAAGTTATTGTCCTAAAATTCTATGATAAAAATAATAGTGGTAAAGATAATCGTTCCGTTTGTCTACATAATCAACAATGTTCATTAATTGAACGTAAACTTTGGATTATTTGTCGTTTATCGGATGGTACTAATCAAATGAAAAGGAAATTGATCAAAATTAGCAGCTTATTTTTTGACATAGTTTTCGAGTAAGATACATATAAAAAAAATGAAATTCTTTTCCATTCAATTTTAAATACACAGTCTTTATTTTCAGGTCATTCAGACTTTTTCTTCAATTTATGGCATTACAATGCATTACATTGCAATGGAAAATTACTAGTCTATTAATTTATTTGATAATTTATGGATTTTTTCATTTATCATCGTTAATTAATCAAGATAATTTGTACAAATTTCAAAAACATGTTATCAATTCAATTAAACAATATGAACGATTGACATTATACGAAGATCATTCGTGGCAATCAAAATTCTGGCAAACATTTATAATCAAATGTAATTTAAAATTGCACTGGATGATTTATTTTATAAATGTAATAACGTATATTTTAGTTTGTTGGTGTTTCAGTGAATATGTATCGAATACAATGCCAGAATTGATGAATCAATTCCTCGATTAGTTCAATTGTAAAATATTGATCATAACAATAATACGTCAAAATCGCAAGACTATATAACGTAGATATAAATGAATTAAATTAGAAATTAAATTTTTTCAAAAGGAATATATTAATTCACACTTACATTACATTCGAGTTTAATATTTTTTAAAGAATTATCACCAGCAATAATAGGTTGAAATTTCAATTTTTCAGCGCATCGTAAATATTCTTTAGCCGTATTTGCACCATAGTTATGTTGGTTCAATAATTCTTCAACTCGATCAAATAATTGCTTTTCGTTAAAAATTAATCTAGTTATTAATGTGAATCCACAATTCGAACATCTAATCTCGGTCGATTCTTGTCTATGTTCCAATGTCCATATTGCACGCCAACACAGCATACAAGTGATTGTGTATTGATTGTCCAACAATTCTTGCCATTCAAGTGTATCACTTTCATCCGGATAACAGCGGTCCATTTCGTTCAGCTCCTGCTTCAGAGGTAGAAGAAATTGTTCATAGTATTCAATCATTTCATCGTGATCGATAACCGGGCCATTTAATTCAATCCAAACATCATTCATCACTTGTTGAATCGAATCATTTTGATCACATTCGTCTAATTTAATTTTTCTAAATTGATTAAACAGATTAGCTCGCCTTTCCTCATTTCTAATGTGCCATTTGTTCAAACATCTCTATTGAAGGATTTAAATAAAAAATCAATTAATCAATTTCGAATAAAAACAATCAAAATACATCACGATAGTTGTTGAACCATTGCGGTGATGTCAATTGTTGTGGTTGTTGTTTAAATATTGATCGAAAATTTCGTTTTTTAGTACTAGATCTCGGTGTTCGTGAATTGATAGATTGATCATTAATTTTGTCAGGACTTGAAAAAAGATCGACCTCCATCATTGTTTTCGTTTCGGAAGTGAATACTTTTGAATTAAACAAAAAAAATGCTTATGACATCAAAAAATAACAATGCTGCATATGCAAAATTGAAGACCAAAGAGCATTAAAATAACTATAGTTTTTCATCCATCACCATCTGGTGTGCTTGATATGAAGATATTCCTGTTGAGTCGATTATCCAATTTTCAAGATTGTTGAAACAAAATTCTTACGAGTATTTTCGGCAAAAATGATTAAAGCTGTTATTATTGTTGGTGGCCCCCAAAAAGGTTTGTCCCAAATCATTATCAATCAAATTGAATGATAAAATTCATTTTAATTTAGGCACAAGATTTCGCCCATTATCGTTTAATTCTCCAAAACCATTGTTTCCGATTGCCGGTTTACCGATGATTGAACATTTGATTAAAGCATGTGTTCAAGTTCCAGAAATGAAAGAAATTCTATTGATCGGATTCTATCAACTAGATGATGCTTTTACCGAATTCATTCAATCTATGACATTAAAATATCAGATTAGTATTCGATATTTGCAAGAGTACACCCCATTAGGTACGGCTGGTGGTATCTATCATTTTCGTGATATGATCCGTTTGGGAGATCCAGACGCTGTATTTTTAATCAATAGTGATGTGTGTGGAAATTTTAATCTTGTTTCTATGTTGGATTTTCATCGACTTATTCCACAACCTGATAAATTGATTACAATCATGGCCACAGAAGCTACACGTCAGCAATCACTTGAGTATGGTTAGTGATAATATTCCATGTTTACAACCAAACTTTTTAAATATTTTTATTATTATTTTTGCAATACATAGGATGTATAGTTGAAGATCCAAATACGCATGAAATGATGCATTATGTAGAAAAACCTGAATCATTCGTCAGTACGACTATTAATTGTGGTGTATACATATTTTCAACCGAACTATTGAATTATCTATCATCGGTTTTCAAAGAGAAACATGAATCAAATATGAATGATGTTGATATTTTAAATTTTGATACAACATCAATGAATCGCGTTCATTCGGATGCCATTAGTTTGGAATATGATGTTTTCAAACGTTTATTTGAATCGAAAAAAATTTACATATTTCACCAGAAAGAGCATTTCTGGTGGAGTCCAATAAAAACACCCGGTTCAGCTCTCTATGCCAATCGTCATTATCTTTTGACATATCGAAAATTTAATCCGGAATTATTGAGTTCAACCAAACCGGATGGAAATGGTCCTACAATTATTGGTGATGTTTATATCGATCCAACAGCTGTTATCGATTCAACAGCGACGGTAATTGGAATTGAAATCAAATCAATATCGTTAATTTATCATGGTTGTTTTTTTATCTTATAGATAGGTCCAAACGTTAGCATTAGTGAAGGTGTCAAAATTGGTGCCGGTGTTCGAGTAAAAGAATCTATTATTTTGAAAAATGTAACCGTTAAAAATCATTCATTGATTATGTATTCCGTGCTTGGATGGAATTGTGCCATCGGTACATGGTCTCGTGTAGAAGGAACACCCTGTGATCCGAATCCTAATCGTGCCTATTCAAAAATGGAAAACCTGCCATTGTTTGATTGCAATGGAAAACTTAATCCGTTGATTACGGTTTTAGGTTGTAATGTACGAGTAACATCGGAAATTATCATATTAAATTCGGTTGTATTACCGTACAAAGAAATTAACCGAAGTTTTAAAAATGAAATTATTTTGTAAAGAAATTTTTAATATTTTAATTTGTTGATCATGATTTTTCTCAAACAAAATTTTATTAAAATGACTGCTGATTTTTTTTTGTGTGAATCCGAAGAAAAAACTCATTGAATTTGACAAACTTGACAAAAAAATCGATTTATTTCCTGTTTTATTGTATCACCAGTTTAATCGTTCGATTCAGATCACCTGTCACAATCGATGATGTTCATTCATTTGTTGATGATGATCAATTGTGTGCGATCATTATCATTTTGTTATTATAGATCATTTCATATTATGATTTGGTATATCCTATCAACAACAACAACAAAAATCCTACATTAAAAGCCTATAAATGTAATGCTTAACTTTTTTTGTTTTGTTTTGTACGATTTAAAGAATCTTTTGTATCGTTAATGATGAAAAAAAAGTAGAGAAAGACTAACATAAAGATGAATGATTGAAAATAAATTTAATTCGATGATGGAAAAAAATCATCGACTTTAGATGGATCATCATCAATCATTACCACCGATGATCATTATTGAACGTTATTAAAACAGTATTGTTATCGTTGATGATGATGATTATCAGTATAATATTAAGGTTTTTCATAATGCTGATGATGATGATCTGATATCTTTTCACATATATTTAGCGAGCAAGTACAACGACAACAACAACAAAAATTCAGTTAAAGAACATTCTTCCGAAGAAAGAAAGAAAGAAATTTTTTCTTTTCCAATAGCGGATCGAATTTAAATCTTTTCAGTTTTTTCATTTGTTTTGTTTGTTTGTTTGACCATGCTATTCTTAATGGAAAATCATAATCTAAATGGCTTGAATGGCGAAAAATTTTGACAAATAATGGTCAATAATCATAATTCTAAAATATCATTTCAGATTATCCAGACGATGATAAACGAAAAAAATCTTTATTTTATTTCTTGTTGTTGCTTGTTTTTATCATTGTTGTTGTTCTGACCGATCATTGGACATGAAGTTGTTTTGTTCTATTATTTTATTTTATTTTGTCGAGAAAAAAATGAACTAAAATGCATCAACATTTTTTTATTTTATTTTTATAAATAATTTTTTTCGGGCAAATCGACCATAATAAACCATTAACCTGAATGAATGAATTAGAGAGAAAAATCAAATCAAAATGATGAAATGAATCGCTTTTCATCGCTTTAGTTCGTTTTAGTTTACGTTAACGAAGGGTCTTATACAACTGATAACAATGGTTGGCCAAAAAGAATAAGACGAAGAAAAAAACTCATATAGTATACATAGATGTACAGATGGATCAGGTCGAAACGAATGATGATGATTATTATTAAAATTTAGTTTATCAAACTCAATCTTGTGTTTAGCCTGTCAGAAAATGATACTTTATGATGAGAGATATGGATGTGAAGAGGAAAACAAAAAAAATAAAAATATCTAATTTTGTCCATTTTGTATTCAGGTTCTTTTTCTTTTTTGCATCCATAATACTTTTTCAGTTATCTTCATCATCCCGTTTTTTTTTTGGGTAAAAAACCTTAATGAAGTATCTATTGTATCAAAAAATCATTCATTCATCGTCATAATCAGTAATTGTTTGAGGTCAGTTTTTTTTGTTGAATTGAAGATACAATATATACAAATACACACAACAAACTAAATTATTTTTTGGTGGTTTTTCTCCCCTAAATTAGATTTGGCGCGTGTCCTTATCCACAACATTACGAATTATGAAATGAATACTATATCCGAATGGATAAATTCAACTTTTTTTTTCTAGTTTTGAAAGATAATTAAGTTATTAAGTTAATTTGAACATGGTTAAACAATTATTGTCGTTTGCGCCCATCTGATAATAATAATAATAATAATGATCATAATCATTCTATATTTTTTGAAAGTTGTAAATGAAATGTCAAGAATCACGGAAACAGATAAAAATGAAGGGGGAGGACTGTTATTCATTTTTATTATTGAAATGATTATGATTTTCCTATTTCATTCATTCGATGAAAATGAAGAAATCACGTTTTATCATTATTATGTTGATTTATCATCATAATCATAACAAACAAACAAAATAAATAAACAGAAAAAAAACATATTACATGTTTTCATATCTTGATTTCGACATCTTTATTATGACTTTTTTCTGTTTGTTTGTCTATTTGTTTGCTTATATCTAGTTGAACACGAAATTATATCGCCTAAACAGCAACAACAACAAAAACAAAAAAGATGAAAAACATTGAAAAACAAAACCAAAAACAATTTTTTCAACGAAAATAAATAATGATTAAAAAAAACAAAAATCAATCAGTAAAAAATAACTTCATTAATCATTTTCTTTATTCATTCAGGTTAAAATATTGATTGATAATAATACTAATTTAATATTACATCATGAATTGAAAAAAAAGATGAAAAAAGAGAAATAGAGATGAAAAAAAAACATAATTTTCATCTCTTCATCTAAGGAAAAAAACACGATCATACTTATAATTGTTTTCAATCGAAAGTGTTGCTGTTGATCGATCGATTTTCAATCAAAAATCAGTAAAAAACCGGATCTAAATTGTGAAGAAACGATTAATAATTGAAAAAAAATCTTTTAAGAATTTTGATATATAATATGAGTTCAATGAATATCTCAATCAATATATGGCCACACACAAACACATTTATATGGTTAGAATCGATTATTTTGTGGTTCAAATCATCAGCAACAACAACAACAACATTATCGAAGATTTCCATTATCAGTACACGTTTTTTTGTCGATGTTCCTGATTCTAAATAAAAGATGAAAAATCATTCATTTAATATCATCATAAAAGGATGGAATCATAATCATCACGATATGGTCATCATATATGTAATCTAATTTACTTTTAATGGTAAATTATAAGTGAATGGACCAAAAATAAAATAAAAACACAAAAAACATGAACAATTTCGTAGGCTATATTATTATCAATTGACGGTTTTTCGTTAAAAATACTTTTTTCCTCTATAAAACCATGATGAAGAATTTCGTCGTTTTTTTTCTTTTAAAGAGGTTTAATTGATTGAGCTATAAGTTTCATATTTCATGATCATCATCATCATTGCCTGTTGATATTGATTTCGGACATTATCATCATCATGATTAATAATCCATGAATAAGAGAACGGTCAAAAACGAAAAAAATTCATTCATGATATTAGATATGAAATCGGGATGTGAAAATCAATTCTTCACAATTGCATATCAAATTAACAGTTCTGGTTTTTTTAAACATTATTATTATTATTATTTCTGTGTAATGATAGGAAAAACATTGATCTTAATGAAATAAAATATAACTAAGGCCGATTAATATCCATGGTTGTGAACATATACAAAATAACAATACATCACAAGTTTCTAATTTCCAAATAATTTAATAATAATTATTAATAAACGTAAATCAATCCAATTTGATTTAATTCAATCAAACTCTTGTCTATTTTGTGTATATGTGTGTATACTATTTCATACACATCGTGGATCATTGAAACATCACAATGATGAATTTTTTCGAAGATACAAAAAAAAAGTACAAAAATTTACTCGCGTGTTGCATAAGATTTATCGTTCGTGACTTGCACATTAACCTATACGATGACGATGATGATGATACAACAAACGCGACAACAACAACAACAACAAAAACAGATAACACGAATAAACATGATGAAAAACGATGATCGAGTTTGACCACCATTATCATCATCATCATCATCATCATTCGATATATAACTATACAATTTAACCACATTATGAATACATAATCTGCAAAAAAGTTTTGAATTTTTTTTCCGAATCAAAATTGAAAAAAAAAATATTGGCAGCGAAGAAAAGATAAGATGAGAAAATCTTATTGCTTGTTGTTTTTTTTGTTGTTGTTGAAAAAAATCAATTCATCTCCGGCTCGTGTTTTTGTTTATTTCTATTCTTTCTCTTATGCATTACTGCGGTTTCATCATGTTATGAAAACAAAATTCATTGTATTGTATGACATTCTATTTACAACTTTTGTTGTTGTTGTTGTTTGTTGTTTTGTTTACATCATTTCCATTCAAAATTCAGAAGAAAATTCATATATAATTGATATCTAAATCGCTTACATGCTGTGCATCATAGAAATGCATAAATGTTTGTTTGAATTCAAAGATGAAAAAAAAGAAAGAAAAATTCTCAACTCGATAATGATAATGTATGTGAAGATGTTAGTGTGTTGTTCATGTGATATATTTGAATAATAATCCCCGATCGAATAAACAACCCTCTAATCTAGATTGGAAATGAAAAAAAATAGGAATTCAAAAACCATTTTTATTCGTGTTTTAGAAAAAAAACCCAATATACAATGATGATCATCATTGATGAGCGGAAATATGAATGTAAATGCAAGAAGAAGAAGAAAAAAAATACCTGCTGAAAATTACCATTGATGCTGATCAACAACAACAACAATAACAAAAATGGAGATGAAAAAAAATGAAAAATTCATATAAAAATCATACATGTCAATGGATCAGAAATGAAAATCTTTTTCTCACTCATTTTATTATAGAAATCAAAAAAATTTCCATATCATATTTATTCGCGATAACGTGAAAAAAATGAAATCAAATCACATTGATGATTGGTTCACAACAGAAAAAAAATATAAATATGGATACTAAAATGCAACAAAAAAAAAGAAAGAAAAATATCGACAGAGAAATGTCCGAATTTTCATTCATAGATGAAATAATGAACGGATGAACAAAATGAATAAAATAAATGAATGAATGAATGAAATTGATGTCAGACATTGAGAAGAAATGAAACAAATTCGACCCGAAAAAAATTACAAGATGAATGAAATGAATAAATGACATCCATCATCATCATCATCATCAGAGTAACAATCGTCCAGTCTAGTAACAATTTTTTTCCATTCATTTCATCATTATAATTCATCTGCTGTGATGATTTTGATTTGATTTTATTATTACTATTTATTTCATAACGTTGATTGACATG